AGCGTTCTGAATTTCCGAATTCTTGATCTTGTGTCCCTACTAATTGGTAAAATCGTCTAAAAAAAATCTAATTCTTACTTCATTTATAAATTGGAAAATAACTAATTGTGTGTACAAGCTACTAGGTCTATAATTACTAATTAGTACATCTATATCGGATTTTTGACTTAAAGCTTTTAGAAATAAATTATGAGCATTTCTTTGGCTCATAATCTGGGTTTAGGTGTTTGCAAAATCGACTTGTACTTTTGCTTATCTTAAAATAAGTTGATTTAAATTATAATAAAAGCACCACTGGACCTGTTTTTTTTTTTTTTTTTTTTTACTTTTTAACTCGAATTTCTAGAACATTTGCAAAAACTCCTAACTTTTGAAAATGAACATTTAATATCAACTTAACACACAATCACCAACAAATTTTTATTTTTTTTAATAAGATTTTGCAAACACCACCTAAATCTCAACTAATTAACTAAATATTGAGTTAGGAAGACATCAACTAATTAACTAAATACATTAGAACCTCGATAAATTAACAACCACGATTAAATAATAATTTCTCCCGGTCCAGACTCGGTGAAAACGTATTAAATTATTAACTCGATAATTTAATAATTCACTAAATTAATAAAATTTCTCTGATCACAACTATATTAATTTACAAAGGTTTAACTGTATTATATTTTAGTTTAGGGTAAATTACAAACACCCCCTGAGGTATGGTCAAATTACAAAAAAACCCCTATTGTTTGGATAATTACATCTACCCCCCTCAACTATGATTTTTTCTTAGACCTCCACCTTTATGGTGCCAAATTCAACATAGTCATCTAGATTCCGGGAAATGTGATCAAGTTTGTACTCTTTTTGTGAAAAAAATACAGTTTTCAATTCACCACAAACTGATATATACAAGCTAAAAATCACATATTGTGATCATCATGCTTCATAATGTAGAGTTTGATCGGGATAGAACGAGTCCGAAAGTGAACAATATTTCGTATGTCTCTCAAAGACTCCACTAAATTTGATGAGTTGAGAGGGGTGATTGTAATTATTCAGACCAGAGGGGTGTTTTTGTAATTATACCATACCTCAAGGGGGTGGTTGTAATTTACCCTTTATTTTAATTCGTTGGGTATTTCTAATCACAATAGTTACATGTCAAGTCTAAGGCCTCAACTTGTCAAATATTGGGTTGGTTCACAATAGGCCTAAATACCACTATTCGTAATTCCCTTAAATAAATGCGAATAGTTTTGCTAAGAACCCCTCCTTTGTTCCCATAAATAGTGAAGTTATTTTTTCTTCCAATAATTAAGGTTATTATTGAAATATTTACGAGATTTCGATTTCCGGTCCGATTTAATTTCAAAATTTAAGTTATAATATCAATATTATTTTATATTTCATATTATAGACGATAAAGAAAAAGAATTTCCGAATTTCTCCAAATACAGTCCAACAATTTGCAATTTTGGAATATGTATTTTCATCCCAATTTTTTTTAAATTGCAAAATCGTAGGAACGGAATTAAAATTATCTTTTAACTTTCGATCTGATCCGTTCGATTTACCTAGTCAGAATAATGACATTGTTTCTTTAAGATCCTAGAATGAGCATTAAGCATCCAATTCCAAAGCAAAGCGGAACCATCTTTTCAATATACTTTTTTCAATTATAATATTTCTTTAGTGGCGTAATAATATAATTAATCAATTATTATCAAATTATTAATTAAACATAAATAAAAATTGAATTAGGCAAAAAGATAATAAACCAATAAAAGAGAATTATTATGTATTTAGTTTCTATCCAATAATAATTGAGAGGTGATAAATAAATAAATTAATAAATAAAATAAATAAATAAAAATCCCAAAAGTAGACTCCCTTTCAGCTTCTCTCTCTCTCTCTCTCTCTCTCAGATTCTCCTCCCTTTACTTCTCTCTCTCTCTCTCTCTCTCGATATATATATATTCTCTCTCATAGTTTTTGATAAGAATGAGTGCCCTTCTCTGAAATTCCAAAACACCCTAAAACCAGATAGAAGCCCCTTTTTTTAATTTGATTTTTTTTTCTCTCAGGCTTTTCATCGAACAGGTAATCTTTCGATTTGTTCTGTTAAAAAAAAAATTCCGCAAGAATACATACTTTTTTTAGATGTTTGCGTGCTGTACGGATGTTAGATTTGATTACGTGTTTAGACGCCGCTTGTGTTTTTTTGGGCAGATCGTTCGATTTCACATCCATCAGCTTCTCTGATCTTGACCTTTTTTTTGCCGTTTTAATTTTGGATTTTTTCTTGATTGCGATTTTTTTTTTGTTGCTTTATTTCGCAAATTTTTAGTGTTTGTGTTGAATTGAGGTCGTCCGTTGCTTGTGGATGGCGAGATAGTTTGATTTTAGCCTGGGTGATTTTTTAATGGATAGAGATGCATATTAGGTTTGTGATTAGGGCTTTAGTTCTTTTGTTCTCTGGTTTTTGACATGTTTATGGTTGATTTTTGCAGGACTTGTAGCTTATTAAGCTACATAGTCGACGTTTTATTCGAATTACCGGGCCCGATTTTTTATGATTGATTGATAGAGATTTCTTTACTTAACCTAGGTTTCTGCATACAACTTAGGCTTGTATTGTGCATATGGGATTTTGTAATGGAGGTTTACTTTTGCTGACATGAATTAGAATATCTGATTCTTGATTAGCATGCACTGCATGACATTCTGTCTTACTATGTCGAGTTTGGTAGGTGCAAATTGAGTTGCCTTTTCTTGAAATTCCTGTAATTTCTCGAAAATTATGTGTATCTAATTTTTATATGCTGAAACTCACTCCTTTTAATAAAAGGATAATTCTGCAGAGTTAATCTCTAGAATAGGTCATTCTAAGATCGAAAGTGTTCGCGAGAGAATGCCCTTTTTTTATATGTAGTTCGTTCACTCTCCCACTCAAAACATGCATTATTATTGCTTTACGTATTATGAAGTTGATGGTTGAATTCATCTGCGTGGATAATAAACTGCTTGATCATCTGACACTATTACTTGTTTGTATCTTGTCCTTTTGCTGCGAGAAGGTAACCTCGTATTTTTATTGTATTTCTCTGTATCTCTATTGAGTGTTCTAATTATCGTTTATCTCTGACTATATGCTTAGGCATAATGATTAAGTTGTTCAAAGTAAAGGAAAAACAGAGAGAACTTGCTGAAAGTGCAAATGGGAAGCCTCCGGTAAAGAAGCAAAGTGCTGGAGAATTACGTCTTCAAAAAGGTTTTTTTTTTATTTATTTATTATAATTATTTTAGTGCTTTTGAAATTCTCTTATTAGTGCTTTTGAAATATGGATGTATGGATAAAGAAGTTAAGAGTTGTTAGAACTTGCGTATGGGTAGTAAATTAATTTCCAATTCTTAATTTGATCACTCGTTCTCCTTGAATAATTAGTGCCATTATATCCATTCTCCGATGTGCTAATGTACAACAGCTATTACTCTTTTCCCATGTCACTCTTTGCTTAAGAGTTGTACACAAATTCCTATTCCAAATTGAAATGTCCAACGATCCACGAAATTCCGTTTCTTAAAATCCTATCCCGAGAACTAGGATGCTCTTGAATGCACATCCCATAATTATTTTCTAACTGTGTCAAGTGTCCCACTAAAAATACACGAGAGTTTGTTACCAGTTCTGCAGATAGGGTCCATTTATGAAATGTTGTAGTGCTTATTTGTGACGAGAAATGTTGTAGTGCTTATATGTCACGAGAAATGTTGTAGTCCTTATATGTGACGAGAAATGTTGTAGTGCTTATTTGTGAAGAGAAATGTTGTACATGTTATTTCAATAGTCAATGATCCCCCTGCAACATTACTTCTCTGTCTTATTGTTGTGTGTCCTGTTAAAATACACATTTTAAAACTCAAAACATGGTATGCATCTTTCCTGTAATAGTCACAATTGTCATGTACATGCATCTTTCTGTATCTATATCCACATATGTTTATACGTCTTATTTCTTTAGTGTAGTACTTCCTTTGTCCTTGAGCCTTATAAACGATTACCCGCTTAGCACTAACTTCTTTCTTTGCCTCATAATAATGTAGACATTAGTGAACTCAACCTGCCAAAAACATGCAACATAGCATTCCCCAACGGCAAGGATGAGCTTATGAATTTCGAAGTTACTATTCGGCCCGATGAAGGCTATTATCTGTAAGTATTTTATTCTACTAAGGTTCGCTTTCTTTTTTAATTTATTTTTATTTTATCTGAAAGCATTGTTGTATATCGGTGTTCCCGCTTTGTTTCAGGGGTGGGACATTTCTTTTCTCATTCCAAATTTCGCCCATCTACCCGCACGAGGCACCAAAGGTTAAATGCAAGACAAAGGTAACGGGACATTACATTATTTAATATGATGTTCTGTTTCTTAATTAAAGCGGATTCGCTCAAAATCGTGTTAATATTTGTGATGTGGATCTCGTTGACCAATTATTCCAGGTCTACCATCCGAACATCGATTTGGAAGGAAACGTGTGCCTAAACATTCTTAGAGAAGACTGGAAACCCGTGCTAAACATAAACACCATTATCTATGGGTTGTACCATCTTTTCACGGTATTATTTTTTAATGGACTTTTCTATTTTAAAATTCTGTTTTTTTATTAGTTAGTTCTCTTACAAGATATTTCTACGCAGGAACCAAATCACGAGGACCCTCTCAATCATGAAGCTGCTGCAGTATTGAGAGACAATCCGAAAATGTTTGAATCTAACGTTCGGAGGGCAATGTCGGGTGGCTATGTAGGGCAAACTTTCTTCGCTCGTTGCTTATAGTTTCCGAATAAAGATTGAATCAGTGACCGATTTGAAGCTCGTTCGAAACTTCGCAGGGATTTGATGTAACTAAGAAGCAGATAAAAGGGATGTTTGTATTTTGCTACTACTATAACTTATGCTTTTTTCTCTGTTGGGCTTATTCATTGTGTGCCACCGTTCCGAAGATTGAAACACCTTTATTTTTGTTTGGAAAGACGAATTACGAATTGTCTTAATATGACTACTAAGTTCATAAAATTTGTGTGATATTTGGTAAGTAGGGGTTGTGCTTCGGTTATGGTTGCTTTGATAATGAAATGCAATAACTGAAGTTTTGAGTTGTTGGATCGCTACTAGAATTAGATCGTATGTGGGAGAATCGGTTATGAAAAGAAAAAAAATCGAGTTCGACTCATAGGTTGTTAGGTAAGAATTGGACGGTCGGAATAGAGTTGAGTGGCTACAATTAGGTAACCGTTGCGACTCGTGTGTTCAACCATATGATTTTTTTTAACCAGATGAAATAAGTTCTTTTAACCAAGAACGAGCGAGATAAAGGTCGATTAAGTTCGGGGATATGGTGGTCTTGGCAAAAGCTTTCCAAAAGTGATTCTAGATTTTTGGTGGGTTCATAATCATTTTTTAAGTGTTTGTAATATTAACTTTTATTTCTAAAATAAGTTGTTTTAAGGTGAAATATAGAAAAGCACAATTGAACCAATTTCTCTTAAAATCAGTTGCTTAAATTTTATTTTTCATGGAATTTAAAAACACTCTTAGCTTTTAAAAATAAAACACTTATTATTAACTTAACTCATAATCACGTAATTCTGATTTTTAAAAGTTTTGCAAAAATCACCAATCTCTACTATTTAGATTGTCTGTCTATTCACTTTTTATTTGAATGATGTCTAAAAACAATTTATTAATTCTTTTTGATGCTTATAAAAAGCACAACAAACATTGTTTTTATTAAAGACAATAAATGCATACATTTTCAGAAAATGCCATGTTTAATGTTTGCTGTGGTGACATTAATTAAGGATTGAGGAGACAACTAAAACTAACATTTGATGTGTTTGGATCCACTTCTCTTCCTATCCAATCTACCAACACATTTCGAAAATGGCTAAAAAAGGAAAAAATGATTGAGAGAGAGTTTGGATCCACTGCATCGCATGGCCTGGACCACTAATGACGTGTCGAAATCTGGTTGGTTTGTTGACCAGTTCAATCATCGAGGAGACAATTCTGGTCCCATTTCTGCCAGAAAAACACACATGAAAGAGAAGGAAAAATTGTCCTAAAAACCTCTTTTATTTTATTTTTTTTATTTTTTTTGTGTAAGAACATGGTAAACATTAATTATATATTCTAGCAGCTTTATTTATATATTTATTTTTATTATATATATACTCTATGTAATGGACTTGAATTTACTCAAAAAAAAAAAAAAAAAAAAAACTCTATTACCGAACAAAATGAAATAATAAAATTTTCCCGGTTTCCGACTCGTAAAAAACGTACTAAATTATTAGTTTGATAATATAATATTTTGCTAAATTAATAGCATTTTGTTAATTCTGACTGTTCTAATTTAAGAGTTTTAACAGTATTACATCCAGGGCCGGCCCTGAGCCTATGCTGCACAAGCAATGGCTTTGGGCCCCCACTTTCTAAGGGGACCCCAAATTAAAAAAAAAAAAAGTATATATACATATATAAATAATCTTGTGTTTTAGTAATTTAAAATGGACTTTTTATAAATCACAATATTTAATTGGGTTTTAGAGGCTATTTCAATCAAGGCTCAAATTAATTGTACAATTTTCTATCGAGCATTGAGATGAAAAAAAAATCCTACTTCATCAAATTTAATATTTTTCCACCCATCATTAGCGAAAAAAAAGAGATAATTCGTCTTTATTTTCATAACTTATGGTGCAACTAAAACAAATTATAAAAAATAATAATAAAAATAAGGGGTAATATGCCTCACACCCCTCAAACCAAACTTAATTAGTTATGAGTGACAAACTCAAATAAAATATTTTAACTACATCCCTATTTTAAAATAAAAATTGATACACATCCTTTGATTTTTATTTAACCCAAAAATACCCTTACAATACCTAATAAAAGTCACGTGTCTCTTCTTTTTCTTATTTCTTTCTCTCTCTTCCCGTCTCTTTCTCACGCCGCTCGACCGTTCAACATATCACGTTCTGGTTCGTTCTCTCTCTCTCTCTCTCTCTCTCTCTCTCTCTCTCTCTCTCTCTCTCTCTCTCCTGATCTCTTCTCCTCTGCTCTCTCACACACGTCCCCCCTCCCTTCCTCATTTTTTTTCTTTTCAATTATAGTAAATTGATGAAGGCTATGATGGTGGTTATGGAGGATGGCAGCGGCTATGATGGCGGCAGTTATGGTAGGCGACGACGACGGCTATGGCGACGCTCGGCATAGGGATTGCATCGGGAGGCTATGTGATGGCAGGCTCGTTGTTTGCTTGCAACCCACAGGGATGAATCGTGAAGGTGGTCTGGGTGTGGGGGTGGAAAGGGGGAGTAGTGGCGGTGGTGGTGGCGGCGGATCGGATTTAGGGTTTGTTGGGAAAAAATTAAGATTTTTCGATTTAGATGTCTACAGATGTATGTGAGTGTCTATGGGTGTCTATGGTGTCTGACGGCTAGGGTTGAAAGGAGTTAGGGTTTCAAGATGTCTATGGGTTACTACGGATTACTAAAGATTTCTACAGAATTCCGTACATGTCTGAGGCAAAAAAAAAAAGAAATTAAAAAAATCATAAATTTCAATTTATTTTGAAAATAAGGAGAAAAAATAGATTTTATATAATGAAAAAATACGAAAAATGAAAATAAAAAAGAAAAAAGAAACCATAATTTTTATTTTATGTAGGAAAGGGGAAAAATAGATTTTTATATAATGAAAAATATGAAAAAAAAAAGAAAAAAAACGTGTTCTAAGAAAAAAAAATGGTAGATGCAAACTTAAAAATGTTAAATAATACCATAGTTCATCATAGTATATTTATAATCTGCTGTAATTTTGAATTTGTGTGTAGAGGGGCATTTTTGGAATAAATTTAATAAAGGATGTGAATCAAATTTTAATTAGACTTGTCATTTAGTTCTAATACGGTTTGTCACCAGGGACTTATATCTTAAGGCCCCTAAAAATAAATATAAAAATTTCAATGATATCTAGTGCAGGTTTATGCATTTTTATCCTCATTAACTAATGTCATAATATATTATTTTTGTTTGTTTTATCAAGTTAAATATGCATTAATCATAAAATGGTCATTTTTTAAAAATTCGCTTAGGGCCCAAAAAATGTCAGAACCGGCCCTGATTACATCCCAGTATTTTTGGGGTAGAATTTATGCTACAATGTGTTGAAATGTGTTACAAATCATTCAACTACATTGATATCCATTCTCAATAGTTATTGGCCTTAGGGCTGAAATAAATCCAAAAAATACTTCATACTTTTTCGAAATCAATTTAAAGGTGTATTTAAACACGTCTTATAAATAAAAAAAATCGAACTTGTATCCATCTTTTTGTTAGATAAACTATGAAATTGTAACAGAACTCGAGTTCGATAAGAAAATACGATAAAATGGAGACTGAAAATCAAGCTGCTACTCAAGCTCGACTCAATTGCTTATCAAAACAAGTTAAAACTTTCAAAGCAAGACAAGAATTCAAATTAAACCAACTTAAACAACCATAAATTAACCTCCACATGCTTAAATGCAAGGTTAGGATTTAATTTTTAATTTTTATTTATAATCTCAATTCTCAAGGTTAGAATTTGAATTCTCCATCTCTCTCGTTTCCTTTAAATTCGAGCATTTAAAAGTAAAAAATTAAGAATATAATATATATAATATTTTAATAGATCTCTTTCTGCATAATTCTATATTTGTAATTAAAATATGAATTAGAGTAATAGAAATTCTGTTTGGTGTGGGGCCCAAAGCAAAATACTTTAATGTCACACACTCATACCCAAAGTTTCAGTATACTCAATTACAGCTTAATACTCCCTGTCTAAAAACTTTATCTCTCAAAATACATGCACATATAAATATAAATATATATATATATATATATAAATATATATACACACAACAGAACACACACAGAAAAAACACACAGAAGAGAGAGAGATTCTTCTACACTTGGGAAAGCAGAAGGGTGGGGAAGCGTATTCCTCGTGAGTACTCCAGATTTTTGCAACGCCAAAACACCCACCCAATATATACATACACATATATATATATATATACAGAGAGAGAGAGAGAGAGAGAGAGAGAGAGAGAGAGAGAGAGAGAGAGAGAGAGGTAGTGTTTGTAGAAAGGGGAAGGCGGAGGAAGGAAAAGAAGATGATGTGGGAAGCTGGAGGATCAACAGCTTCATCTTCTGCGGCCGGAGGAGCTGACGGCGGCGGCGGAGACGGCGGAGGAGGGAGGAGGAAGCCGTCGTGGAGAGAGAGAGAGAACAACAGGAGGAGAGAGAGGAGAAGGAGAGCAATAGCAGCGAAGATATATGCTGGGTTAAGAGCTCAAGGTAACTACAATCTGCCCAAGCACTGCGACAACAATGAAGTCCTCAAAGCTCTCTGTAATGAAGCCGGTTGGATCGTCGAACCAGACGGCACTACTTATCGCAAGGTTTTCTTTTACTTTCTCTCTCTTCCATTTTCTCTCTCTAAAATTTGCTGTGAGCTTGTTTCGTTGTTGTTTGGATCTGTGGGTTTGGTTTTTGGTATGGGTTTTGCCTCAATTGAATTGGGATTTTCTGTTCTAATTTGATCTCCTGTTTCTGAATATGTTCTTGGATTTATTTAATTTACTTTTTTTTTTCTTTGAACTTTAGTTATTTCTAGCTTTTTTTCTTCATCTTCTGCTTAATACTGTGGATCTAGCTGTTAATTATACAGCGGTTATAATTTTGCAAGAAAATTTAGTGTCTTAAAAGTTTAGCTGACAGTTGTTATTTCTCTAATTCTTGAAATTTTGCAAGAAAATTTAGTGTTTTAAAAGTTTAGCAAACAATGTTTATCTCACTAATTCTTGAATTTTTGCAAGAAAATTTAGTGTTTTAAAAGTTTAGCAGACAATTGTTATTTCACTAATTTAATTAGTGTTTTAAAAGAGAATTTTTATATGTGTGTGTATATATATACATACAGGGATGCAGGCCATCTCCAATGGAAATAGGAGGAACATCAACAAACATAACACCAAGCTCATCGAGAAATCCGAGCCCGCCATCTTCGTATTTCGCCTCTCCAATCCCTTCGTACCAACCGAGCCCGAATTCGTCTCCGCCTCGAAACAATGCCGCCAACCCTTTCGCCTTCCTCCTAAACTCCATCCCCGCCTCACTGCCGCCCCTCCGAATATCAAACTCCGCCCCCATCACCCCGCCTATGTCATCTCCAACAAGACATGAACAGCAGCAACAACAAAAACGAACCAAGCAGCAGCAGCAAATCTTCACCTTAGAATCCATCTCCGCCATGAACATGATGAACATGCCCTTCTTCGCCGCCTCCGCTCCGACAAGCCCCACCCGTGGGCGGCGGTTCACTCCCGCGACTATACCGGAGTGCGACGAGTCGGACACTTCGACTATCGATTCCGGGCAATGGATGAATTTCCAGGCGTACGCGAACGCGAATGCGAACAACAACAACATGGTTTTTCCGAATTCTCCGACTTTTAACCTTGTGAAGTTGCCCGCGGCCGCAAAGTCCAAGGACGCAATAATGTCGGATAAGGGGAAGGGTAAGGAGTTGTTCGATTTCGAGAGCATGGCGGTTAAGCCATGGCAAGGCGAGAAAATTCACGAGATGGGAGTCGATGATCTCGAGCTCACGCTAGGTAACGGGAATAATCGGTGATTATTATTTTATTTTATTTTCGTTTTTATTTTCAAGATTCGTTGTAAGAGTGATTGGGAGATTTAAAAAAAGAAAAAGAAAAAAAAATATATTGGCCCTTACACAATATTATTAGGAGTTTTTTATATGGATTTGTTTTCTTTATTAGGTTGAAAATTGGTTTTTTTCAGTTGTTATCAAAATTATTATTAGAATTTTTTGTTATTATTTTTATTCATTGTAATGATTTGTCTTTTGATTTTGAGAGTGCACCTTCTATTATAGCCATCATACATTGCTGCAGCAGATTCTGCTGAAATATATAAATAAAGCTGCTATTTTTAAATTATTTGAACAATATCCACCCATTTATTCAAGAAAGGAATAAAAAGAAAAGATTTTCAGACAGAGAAATGTTCTCAGAAGGTTGTACTAACATTTGGTCAGATTATAGGTCCTATATTTAAGTAAATGTTTTTCACTTAGCCTCTTGGTAACGGTCGTTAGTCGTTAGTCGTTAGGTCGAGTTTGTTACACATATATAGTTAGTCTAGTGTGATTTACGTTTCTCGTATAGTTAGCAAACTATTATACGAGAGTGCAAGTTTATTCACTGGGTTGCGTTGTCACATAACGTCTCTCGTATAGTTTGCAAGCTATTATACGAGAGTGTAGGTTTACCCGTTAGATTGAGTTTATCACATATGGTTAACCTAATATGGTTTACGTTTCTCGTATAATTTGCAAACTATTATACGAGAGTGTAGGTTTACTCGTTAGGTTGAGTTTATCACATATGGTTAACCTAATATAGTTTATGTTTCTCGTATAATTTGCAAACTATTATACGAGAGTCCATATTTACTCAGTTTACCCGAAAAAAACTAAACCACTATTAGAAGCTTGATTGATTTCTTATTTCTTCTTAAAGAAGATATTTAGTTGATCATGCAAAATTCGTGCTCCAAACAAATGATTCAATCAAATCCAACAAGGACAGAATAAAATAAAAATTAAAATGTGGTTGGTCAATTATTTGATTTATGATCATATAATAAGATAAAATAAAAGGCTTTCATAAATGCATGAATAATAATGCATGGCCCCTCTCAAGCTGGCCACTAGAATGAAAAGATATCAACTGATTTTCCTGAAATTATTGACAACATACATCAAATATTATGGGATACAAAAAATGAATAAATAAAAATGATAATAATAATATTTGGACAAAAAAGATTAAGGGAGAGATTTGGCTTTGTAGAAACCAAAAGGTCAGATTATTACAGCGTAATATATGGCCTTTGTCACATGTAGTGCTTGATGAATGATTAACCTGTGGTCTACTTGTCAACAAAAAATAAAAATGAAATGTGCATTATTATCATTTTCCGGTCAAACATTAAAAATATTGATATTTACATACAACAATAAAAAAAGAACAAACTCTTCAAACATTACATACAACAAACATGTTAAAAAAAGTTTCAATTACGGTCACACCTGAGATAATTAATGTCAAATTACGAAAAAACCACATCACTCAACAATGAGTCTTCTTCACGTTTATCCTTATGGTGTTAAATTCAATACAATCTTCTAGATTCCGTGAAATCTTCTCTAGTTTGTACTCATTTTGTGCAAAAATGCAGTTTCTGATGCACCACAATCTGATATTTACAAGCCAAGAGAGACATATCTTATGATCATCTTGTTTCAAAATGTGGAGCTGAAATAGGATAAAACGAGTACAAACTGGAGAATATCCCACATAATCTAGAAGGTTCTATTAAATTTGAAACCGCAAGAATAAACGTATAAGAAGGTTCAGAGTTTAGATAATGATGATTTTTTCGGAACTTAATCTTACCCCAGTGGTGGCCGTAATTTACCCTAAAAACAAATCAGCAAACAGGATGACAGTAGTTGAACCACAATAAATGCAAAAGATAACGGTGACACTAATATTAGTAATTAATTATATTAGATATGAGTAAATAAGATTTGATTTTAGGACATAGATCCATCATATATATATATATATATATATATATATATATATATATATATATATATATATATATATATATATATATATATATATATATGTGCATTGTCTTAATCCTCCACAGCCTGGTCAGGTGTTTGTTCTGCTCCCTTGTTTTTCGGATTCGTTGTATCTGAAGCATGTTATGAGGTGATCATTTACTACACCAGACACTTGCATGAATGAGTACACGACTGTGGGGCCCACGCAGCAGAAGCCTCTCTGCATGAGATCTTTGCTTATGAGTTCCGATTTCGGTGTTTTGGCTGGTACTTGGCGTGTGTGGCGAAAACCGGTTCTTATTGGTTTGTTGCTTACGAAGCGCCACAGGTAGTTGCTGAACGAGCCGAACTCTTGCTGGATCTACAAATTGAAAAAAAAAAATATGACAAATAGTGCAAACATAGTATAAAATGATTGCTCGGTTTGAGTAGAAAGTAGAAACTATTTTCAAGAATCTGATAAGGAAACGGGCTTATCTCTTTAAGATGCATTCATTGGCTCGTTTGGTATGTGGGACCGAGATTGTCAACATCAGATAGGCTTCGTGAAAAACCGGATAAATCGATTTAAAAACAAAATGGGTCGAACTAGATAAAACCGATGGTGTTTAATGTTTAATGATGAATATATTATTTTTGTCCAAATCACTTATTTTTTTCGTCCCAGTTACTTGTTCATTAAGAAATTCATATTTAAACAACTTTCAAAAATAACTTTTTTCCTTTTGGGACACAAGTTATGCTTCGAATGAAAGACGATTCCTCCTATAGAATTGATTACTTATAATGTAAAGAAAAAAAATTATCTACTTGAATCTAGTTGAACTAGTCAAACAGTGATTTCGATGGCAATCTGATTCTGTGTCGAATTCGATTTTAGAACTATTTGTCAGGAGTCATAAGTGTGTGTATAAGAAGAGGAACAGATTCAAAAAAAAAAAAAAGAAAAAAGAAATTGATCAACTAATTAGTAAGACTTGAAGAAATGGGAAAAATGCATAGACGTACCTTGATCAGCTGCTTAGCATTCTCCACGATCGCACGAAGTTTCGGTTCGGAGAGCAATTTGCTGCCGTGCACTCTCATTGATATCAATCTTTCGGGTTCAAGATTTGCAACTGACTTTGGATTAAATTCATCAAAAAGCTTTCTGAAAAGCAGTTCATCAAAATACCAACAAAAAAAAAAGTCAAACGATGGGCAGAGGAGTCTAGAGTTAAAATTAGATGTGAATACTAATGAAATATAATCGAAACCTAAATATTGGTCTCTTGCTAAGAATCAACGGCCACGATAGTTCTGACAATGCTTGTGATAAAACCAACAGCTCAAATAGCTTGACATCGTCATGCACCGGTGTTCCCCATTCCTCGTCGTGGAAACAAGTATAAAGTGGTTCTGCGTAAGGAAAATCTTCTCAGAGGCATTTCAACAAGCACGTTAACTGCGTCTATTTAGATTATTGTACTTTTCACTTAATCTTCTTCAGGTGCAACAGTATAATCCAAAATTAAATCGTACGAGATAAAACTATACATAGGCCTTTCGAAATTTTATAATTCAAAAAAAAGGTGATGACAATTTATCATCAATATTTTGGAATATTAACTGAATTTATCTTTCAAAAATAGGATTACTCTGACAAAAAATAATGATAAATCCCCAAATTAAAGAGCTGCCCAAGCATTTCGTCGTTTAAATTTTTCGATTTTCGACAACAACGCTAAATAATAAAATAAATGCATGATGATTTTGCAATCCTAAGTTCTAAGCATGACAGAAAATTCTCGGAAATTTGTTTCGAAACGTGAGAATTCGACGTAAACCAATTTTTTTTTTACCAGAATTTGGCGTGATCCAATCGCATCGTTTAACAGGAAGCGGAACCGCAGGGGAGAGGGTTAGAGCTACAACTCCTTCAGGCCCAATTTTCACAGATTTAGCAACGCCGTTACGAATTTTTGTTCTCCTCGAGCTCAAACTCTTAACAGAATTTACAATTGAGCCACTGGACGAAGAAGCAGTGGAAGAAGAGTCCGAAGAGCTGTCCGCTGAAACGCTGCTCCGTACAACAGCTGCAGCAGCCGCGGCTGGTTTCGCCGGCGACTGCGAAATTACATTTTTAGCCTTCTCCGCCGGCTTTTTCACCATCTCTTTTTTTCGCCTCCGATCTTCGAAAGTCGGAACTCGGTTACACGTCGGAGCGAGTATGGGCCGGGTTTCTGCGGCGGGTGGTTCAGTGGCTACAGACATATTGGTGGTTTGAAAGTGCAATTGGTTGAAATTTAGGGTGGTTTTGGCAATTAGAGAAGGAGAGGAGGGTATAAATGCAATAAAAATTGTTGCAGAGAGAGTACAGTAGAAGAAGAGGGAGAGACGAAGAAGTGAGGAGAAAACAAACGGTTTAAATAGTTTGCGAACTGTATTGATACGGTGACTGGTGGTAGCCGGTAACTATCATGATGACGTGTCTTCACTATTGAAAAGGAAATGGATTTTTAATATTTTCTTTTTAGAATTGTTCTCTCAAAATTCTAATATTTATATTGTTCAAACTTCAAACAAAAGATTGATATATCAAACAAATAGAAATTAATATTTATCTAGTGTTTTAATTAAGAAAATGCTCTTTACGGGTTAATAACTGCTATTTACCGTTCAAAGTAAAAAACAGTTTATCTCTCTAAAACCCCTAAAATTCTAAATTCTCTCCAATTACCCCCATTCCAAAAAATTCAGAAATTTTTTTTTTTTTCGAAAAATTTCGAAATCAACCAAATTTCGAGCTTGGGCTTCGATTTTTTCAGGTAATTTCAACACCTACATGTGTTATATGCAATGGGTAACTCGATTTTGCAACCAATTTCATGTTTAAAAGCCCTACAAATCGATTTGTAGGGCTTTTGAAATTTTCGGAACTTATAGCCAAACGCCCAAGTCGGGCGCCGGCTGCATGAACGGACGCCCGAAGTGGGCGTCTGTTCATGCTGCCGGCGCCGAACTTGGGCGTGGAATCG